ACTTTATTTACAGAAACAGGCAGCAGGGCAGATTTTGCCCATGGCCATAGTTCTCCAATCCCTGACTTAGAGCAAAGCCCCTAGCCAAGCTACAAGAGAAAAGCTGGGATTTTGGGGTTGTTACTGCACAGCAACCTAGCCCATTCTGATACAGAAACTGGTTCTGTTTTCGAAAAGCCTAGCATACTGAACATTGGCTTAGTTGGCAGGCATTCAGGAAATTGCTAGTGGAAGATGGAAGACATAACTTATGCAGGGGCGATGCATGTTAATGGAGTGATGAAACTGTCCGGAGAGAACCTGGAAGGCAGAGAATCTATACTTTACTCAAGAAAAAAAAAAAAAAAAAAGACAAGAAAACAAAATATGTTTTGGTTGCTGTTGGCCCCATTTGACAAAATAGACAGGAAAGAGATGAACTCAGAAAAGAATTAATCAGTTTGCAAGCAAAAAAGCAAGGGAATAAAGAGCGTTCACAAACTCAAGTACTCACTGGGTAGGAAGAAGCTACTTCTCAATTACAAAGAGATAAAAGTGAGAAATCCTATACGCCAAAGGTTGACTAAAACCCACTTTTGCAGCAAGGATCAAATCACTGGATGACTATCACACCTACTGTTAAAACCTCTGAATTAGTTAATGGGCCTCAGATTAAAAGTCCAACTAAGAGTGTAACACTGGTTAATCCCTTAAGCTGGAAAAAAATGGCTCAGGGAAAAAGAGATTAAGGGTATGGCTCTCCCACAAAGCCTGAAAGCCCAAGTTACCCAGAAAGTAAGTTCAGAGAGGCATGCGAACAAGAAAGCAAAGAAACAAAGCAAATCTAAGAAGTACATATTGACTAGATGTCACTTTCGGGTTACCTTCCTTGGGGAGGTGATGAGGACATTCTGCAGGAAGGAAAGCAAGTGAACTGAATATCTAGTGACCAGAAGGGCTGACTGAGTCATTCTAACATTTTGTTAAATTTACTTACTTTAAAATCCCAGAAGAGCCAGAAATTATCTGTAAAGGAAAAGAGCAAGTAAATAAGATGCCATTTTCTCCTAGGGTTGATGCTTACAGAAGGAAAATGGATATTAACTCTTAAGAAGCATTATCTTTTTCCAATACTGAATGCAACTTAATTACTGAGGTATTGTTTTAGTCCACTAAATAGTTGTCCAATCTTTCTCATCCAGGTTCCTTTGCAAGCCTCCCTTTAGAAATTAAAAAAAAAATAAAATTAAGACTTCTACATCAAGGGGGTAAAGACAATATTACATGGTGGATTTATGCGAGTATACTCAGCTTTACTACTTACGTTTACTAGGGCAAACTGCAATCTAAGTTTGTTTCCTCAACAACATTCACATAGTAAATATTTGAGCCACATGCCAAGCACTGAACTAAATTCTAGGAATACAATTCCCTAGTCACAAAGAACTTAGTTTCATTTCTTGATTTGTAATATGTGGATAACAATTACCCAGCAAGCAGGTACGGCAGGACCACTGTGAAGGTCAAAGGAGACTATGAAAGGGCTGCAAAGATCATAAAGCACTATACAAGTATTTATTCATCCAAACATTTATTGAAATGTCAGGCATTGTGCTAAGCACTAGATATAGCAGTGCGCAGGCATATATATGGTCCCAGCCCATGTGAAGCTTACAGTCTAGCACTGATTAATAAGAAGGAACAACAAAGTGTGCTAAGTATATGGCTAGGGAAGAACAGGGTATTTAGGGAGTGCACAGTAGGTGCACCTAGTCTAGAGGGTATTGATGAAGGCTTCCTAGAGGCAGTGGCATATAAACTGAAACTTGAACAGCCGTATCCTAAGAGCAGTGGTGAAAGCAGAGGAGTGATATGACCAGATACGTCTTTTGGAAAAATCTGGCTGCACTGTGAAAGGGATCACAACCAGAGAAATGGAGCCTGAGAAGGCCAGTGCTATAATATAGGTAGGTTGATGGCCTTGATCAGGATAGTAGCATTGTAGAATCAAGAAAAGTTTAGGCAACAGGCTTAACAGCAAGGTGTGTGTGAGTGGATGTGATGGATGAAGAGGGAAAAGTCATGGCTAACTGGGTTTGGGGCTTGGGTCAGGGCAACTGAATGGTTGGCAGAGGTGGTGGCATTTACTGAGAGAGGGACCAGGAAAGGAGGAGCAGGTTTGGGGGGGCAAGGTCAAGGACATGTTGTGGTGCTTATGAGACAGCAAAGTGGACTTAAGTTAGCAATTAGATATAGGAATCAGGAAAGGTCTAGAAAGGAGATATGAATTTGGGAGTCACTTGCATAAAGTTGGTAAGTGAAGCCATGAAAGAAAAAAGAGATCAGCTACGGAGATGATGTAGAATAAGACAGCTTAAAACCAAATTTAAAAATCCCAAGGACACAGATGTTTAAGGGAAAGAGGTGCCTGCAAAGAAGACTGAGAAAGCATACTTGGAGATGGTATCTCCCTGAAGCCAAACTAAACAAGTATTTAAGGAAGGGTGGCCAGTGGTGTAAAGAGGGTAGGAATATTGACAAGGACTTAGTAAGCTTGGTAGAGCAGTCTCAGCAGCAATATGGGAGAGTGGAAACACAGACAAATCTTTTAAAACTAGTAGGAATGGGAGATATGGGGACATAGAGTTTTTTAAAAATAGTACTTATTTTAACTATATTCACTGATACAACAGGACTAGTTAACAACTATTTTATAAAAAGAAAATTTTAAAGACTGCCATGCAGTTACAGAATTACTTAGTACAGAAAACAGTAAAATACACACTTTTTAATTCTTTTTTACAAAGACTAGTTTATGGCAATTCTCTATTGTTCAGGGTGAATTTAAAATTCTTAGCTTATGCCTCCCCCACATTCACTGACTATATAACTAATCTTATTATTACCTTAAGCAAAATATATAGTGGAACTTCACAAAATATACAAGAGTTCAATATTTAAGGAACTGGGGTTAGAAAGCAGAAGCAGCTTTCAGGTCTTCCAATTATCCTTTCAATAAAGCACCTGCACGAAAGAGACTACTCCAAACTATTGGGAAATTACCGGTAGATTTTTGTTGTTGTTGTTTGGTTTTCCACTATGTTGTTTTTCCAGATATTTAAGTTTACTTCCTGTTAACCCAAATCTTCACCCTTCTTGCTAAGTATCTTAGTAATACATTACACCTTCTTTTCTGCCCTAAACCAATTATGTATAATAGAACAGAGCCCTTTAATCTGGTTCAATACCAATTACTGATTTATAAATGCTATTGTGAGCTACCAGAACCTAGCAAGGCCTTGATTGCATTTTACCAGCCAAACTTGGAATGCTGGAATTAGTTTCCCTTATCAAGTATTATCAGTCTTCCCAACTTGCCCTTCTAATTCTGCTTCTACCGGTAATTTGCCCTGTCCCTTGAAATATAAGAGGATCTACATAGGGGGTCTACTGGCACTTTGGGAGGAATAAGTCTTTATTGTGCTGTGCTGTCCTATGCACTGTGGGGGATGGGGTGTCGTTCATGCTGACATGCCAGCAGAACTTCCCTCAATAAGTGTCACAATTAAAACAGTCCCCTTTATGTCTCCCAACATCCTCTGGAAAGAGGGCATACTGTCTCTGGTTGAGAACCACTGGCAGAATTTTGGTTCTTGGGCTCTTTATGGCATCTATTTTGATAGCTCAGGCTTCAGTTCCTTCTAAATTCTTGTTTGTATTCTGGTTCCTTGAATTTGCTGAATTAGTGGCCACAGAAAAATGCATTACAATAGTTAAGACAGCATTTGAACACAAGTTTTCAAATTGTACTTGAGAGGATCTCTAAGTTGGGTCCTCTTCTTAAATCATTCCACATATTTGGCTTTACTGTAAGATTTCCTTTTCATGGTTAACATAAGTTTGAAAATTACTGTTTTAGCACAAAGCAGATGTCTCACTTAGAAATACGGAAGTGCTACAATCTGTAAAGCTGCTTCTTGAGAGTTAAATATTTCCACTTGTGCACTGTCTTAAATACACAATGTGTGGGATAGTGTCAAATTTATAATAAATCCATTTCCAGCAACAAACAACATTTGATATTATATCACTTTAAAATAAAGGGTTTCCTTTAAGCAGGAATTCTTTATAAAGCTGCAACACTCATGCAGATAGGACAAATTAGCTAAAATATCTCACACCTCCTGATCCTGGGATGCAAACATCTTTTTTTCCTCATCCTTTTTTGACAGGGCCAAACTGTCTAGAGTAGAAAAAAGAATTACTAGTGGGCAACCCCTAAGAGTCTATACTTACCGTAGTCCTTTAGTAGGCAAGCTCATAAAACAGCACCCAATTGTGAAAAATTCAGGGGAAACCTCCAAAAAATTGGTTAGTCTGATCTCCAGACTGCAGGAAGCCTCCTAAACTAGCAATTAAAAAAAATTCTTGCTCCTCTGACTAAAATTTTACGTGCTTATTTTCTGTATTAGTAATATCATTATTGCTAGGGCGGGTGGGAGGGAGGTGAGAGGGAGGAAATATGTCAATATTTACTTCAGACTCAGAAATATGTCTAAAAAAAATAGTCTCAAACATTCTGATAGTTCGACAAAATACCTCCACTGTATGTACGTTCCTCCTTTTCAGAAACTTCTGCACTTGCTATGTGAGTTTCTGCAAATTGGCTCAAACATATATTTAAGCAGTTGATAATTTCAGACTATATGCATCAGAATTTTAACACTTTGTTAAAATAAGAGCTAGTTTCTTCGAAACACCTTAAAAACAGACTTCTAATTCAACTCACATTATTAGTACTAAATGCCTTTAAAAACAGTTATATCATAAAAGCAAAAGATAACGACTTTGCCATCAAATTAAGTTTTAAAAAAAGGTGTCTGCATGTTTCAGTCCCATGCTGCCTCTTGAGATGGAAAAAAAAAATATGAATTTGAATTGTGATCAATTTGGATGAATAATGTGGTGCTTTCCCACAATCCAAATTAGTAAACTTGAAAATCAAACAGATGTTTGCTTTTAGAATTGGATTCTTGTTGAGTGTTTCAATGTTGTACTACAAAAGTTTATGGATTTGATTCATTTCTTCGTCTCACAAGATCATCCCAATGCGGCTCTATTTCAGTGGTGGCAATCCGAAACAGGGCATGGAGGTGTTCGTCTGTCAATGGCTGGCTCAAAGTGTGTTGGTTTCGAGTCAAATATGAAAAAGCCTTTTCACAGATTTTGCTACTATCAAACAAGGATGCCACCTTACAGGCAACCCCTTTAATAATCGGGTAAGATTCAGCAGACAATCCGGCATAGAACTGCCCTAAGTCTTTGGTTCTGTATTCGTTCCAAAGGCTAGTATTTGCCTGAAGTTTTGTTAGCTCCACCCTTACTGAAATAGGGGCATATTCAGGTTTAAAGCTAAATGGATTTGCAAAAAGTTCTAAGTCCTTTTTAATGAACTTGAGGTCCTTGAAATGTCTCTCAAACTCTTTTTGTAGGCGACAGATCACCACTCGATACCTATCAGGATCGAGTATTTTTTCGTCTTCTTGAAGATGCCCTTTAAGCTCAGCAACAACTTGGCTCAAGGCGGCAAAGTGTGTTAGATTTTTTTCCTCGATATGTCTCTGAAGTAAATTCAGCTTCACTTCAAAGGCACAAATATGGTCAAAGGCAGCAGCAGCAAAGACTTTACTCACTCTCAATAGTTCGCTGAGTTCTCGAAGGTGGTCCATAATATCCACCAAGAAGCCAAAGTCACAAAGCCATTCGTTGTCTGTGAAATGGACCGTTGTTGCCCCTATCGAAACCAAGAATGTTTTTATCTCTTTTCTTAAGGAAAATATTAGTTTTAAAGTCTTCCCTTTTCTAAGCCAATTGTTCAGACAGCGTCCATTAACCCTTTCACCGTGCTCTGATTCAGATTCAGTTAGTAAAGCCTGAAATTCCGGCCGCCTAACGCCTCTGGTCTTAATCAAAACTATCCATTCAGATATGGCATTTACGATTTGATTAACATCTACATCGTAGGAGCTCAACAGTTCCAAGTGAAGAAATCCTGAATAATGGATCACATTCCAACAGTTGGGGCTTACAGCCTTTTCTCTCATGTATGACACCAGTCCTGAGTTCTCACCAATCATCCTCAGTGTGTGGGTCGTGGTCAGTCCAACCATCCGCTGCAGGCTAAGCCCTGCCGTCTGCAGGGCCTCAAGGATTGCCGCCATGAGGGCACCAACACTGAAGTGATGAGTCAGGTTGATTATGGTCAGAAGCTCTTCTTGTACCTCCAAATCGTGGCCTACGCCGCGGACAAAGACCAGGAGGTAGTTCTCATAGGCCACAAAAGCCTGGTCATCCAAGGCAAGGGAATAGGCTTTAAAGTCCTTGGCTCGGTTAAAAAGCTGACTGCGTAGATTTTGGTTAATGTCCAGGACCCTCTGCCGCGTGATCTCCGGAGATAAATCAATGCCATCCAGAACGCTTACGTGATTGGGCAGCACATCTCTCAGCATTACCTCCATGCACCGGTGCACAAAGTCCCCCTCGCCCCAGCCGCAACCCTTCAAGGCCAAGAGGCGGGCGAGCCCGAGACCTGCACGAGCAGCTCTCTCCTCCGGAGTGAGCGGGGCGGCCTCGGGCAAGTCGCCCTGACGCAGACGCTCCACCAGGGCCGCGCGCTCGCCCTCCGCCACATACCGCTCGTAATAGTCGTGCTCGGCCTCGTAGTGGTGCCTGACGTCGGGTTCGCCGGTGGCTACGACTAGGCGGCGACACACCAGGCACAGGGCGCCCTCGCCCTCCGGAGGCTCCACCACTAGGTACCGCTGTGTCCACTCGGCCCGGAACCCCCGAGACTCGTCGATTTCCATTTTGCTCCTCTTGGGCGTCATCCACATTTCACGGGAGGCCACAGGAGCTGGGCAGACCTCCGGGAGGCCGCAAGGAGAGGGGAGGAGCAGAAGCGAGCCGCAAGCGCCTCCTCCGCTCTGCGCCAGATCACCCCAGCTGGGGACACCAACCTGCGGCTCCGACACCTCTGTCCCTATTGGCTGGAGATTTCGTATTCCTCAGCCCCAGACATGAGCCAATAGGAAGAGTGGACAGCGGTTTTTAGTGCGCAGGCGCATATCCTTCTAGCTGCAAGGTGGACTGAAGCCGCTTTAGGGTGGGACTAAGAGAACAGGAACTCACGGACTTGACTGGCATTCAAGCTGCCCAATCAATAGCTCACCGGCCCGGAAGCGGCGCTGCCGCTAGAGGGTGGCAGGACGGCGTCAGCAGAGTTGGTGGAAAGATGTGGGCACGAAGCTCTAAGGGGATTGGCTGAAGACACTTCCAGTTAGCTTCTCCCAGTGACTCGGGCTCCTCTGGCGCCAAAATGTCGCTGGTAGCGGGGGTTATCCGGCGGCTGGACGAGACAGTGGTGAACCGCATTGCGGCAGGGGAAGTTATCCAGCGACCGGCTAATGCCATCAAGGAGATGATAGAGAACTGGTACGAAGGGAGTCAAGGCTTCCTTAGAGGCTACGACTTAACGGGCCGATGCTCAGGATAGGGCGGACACTCCTCCCTGCCCGGAGCCAAGGCGTGTGGGGCGCAGGGCCGCGGCGGCGGAGGCCGGGGGGTCTTGCCTTCCCCCCTCACGGGTCCTCGAGCGTCCTCGCGAGACTTTAGGGTTGTTGTGGGGCAAGGAGAGGGTTACACAATATTTACATGTTGCCATTAAGAGAAGTCCTTTAAAAATTATATATGCGGAAGGTGCACATTTTTAAATGTATAAAATTTTTATAATTTAAAAGGAAAAAAACTTCCTTCATCCTTCAGAGGTTACTATGTGTTATCAGTTTCTTGCTTATTCCAGAAGTCATCCATCTACATTCAGAAGTACAATTCATTTTGAGTTTTATTCTAAATAAATTGCTGGGATTTTAGGAGAGGACGGTGGACTTGGGGTTTAACTTGTGATTTCCCTATTGCCAAGTGATTGACCCCACTTAGGATTTTCCTGCCCTTTACTTTTTGCGGGGTCACTTTGAAGATATCTGAGTTTATGGATTCTGAAGTTTAGAACTGTCACACAAACCTTGTGGAAGGAAGAGATTAAAAACGTGGAAAGAAAGTTGGGTGTAAAGTGTAAACTTTAAAAAGGACAGAGGCTCATAATGTACCTAAACGTTATGTCAGATCCTTTGTGTTAAAATGCATTGATATTAATAAACGTTAAAAGGAAAAAAATGTCCCAGCGAAGATTGGTAGGTTTGTAAAGGGATTGTTGTGAAAACACAAACAACCATCGTGGGTAATGGGACTGAAAGAACAGTGGGTCTGAAAGGACCACTGAGAGAAAAGAAGAGAATTAGAAGGTAGACAAAAGAAGGAGCAGGGAGACTGGGGACGGTTTCTCCTTTTGACTTTAAATTCACAAAGGCTGGCTTTTGTTTCTACAGTGTTAGAATTAACTGACAGAACGATTTAGGCCTGTTACTGTACTGTGCCAGAAGACTACAGCAACACTACACATATTAGATCAGTGGATTATAATTCTCTAAGCAGAGATTTTGTATGGAGTCCAGTTATGCTCTTTTTAATACATAAGTCAAGACGGCTAAGTACAACTTCAATTCAGGGGCTCCTGAGAAAGATCTTTAATATTTAAGTAACTTAATATCTTATTTCTGAATAAGGAATTTTCTGTGTGAGGAGGAGGAAACTTCTCTTTCTCATGCAGCCTCAGTCTGGATTTATTTTCTCTAGCTCTGTAGGTGCTCTATGCTTGTAGGTTACTCTTTGAAGGAATAAAAAGATGTATTGACTTCTTAAAGAGCTTTCTGCACTGCCATTTTTTCTTTCCCCCAACATAAATATATTTGCATAAAGAAAATAGTAGAGAAAAACATTTAGAATTTTTTTAATGACATTTTATAAGGGTCATTTAGGAACGTGAGGCTGAAAAAAGTTTGAGTAACAGATGGTAGAATTAGTTGAAAAGTAGGTAAGAAAGAGGCATGTGCTAAAAGGTCCCACTTCTAACTTCCCTTTCTTTTTTTCCTAGAGGAACAGAAATGTTGCTGAATGCCCTATTGGAAATGATGGTTCCCCCCTCCGTCCCTCTCTTCCTTCCCTCTCTCTCACACAGCATGTAAACTGATAACAGTGTAGTCACAGAGCCTGTGAGACAAAGGAAAACACACTGAGTCTTATATTTGTCTGGAATTTGTTCTTATCCCCTGACTCGTATTAAAATATGTGCATTAGAGTAGTTGCAGACTAATAAATTATTATTTTTTTGTTTGATTTTCCAGTTTAGATGCAAAATCCACAAGTATTCAAGTGGTTATTAAAGAGGGAGGCCTGAAGTTGATTCAGATCCAAGACAATGGCACTGGGATCAGGGTAAGGAAAACCTCAGAGCAGCAGGATGTTTGTGTGCTTTGTGGGCTACATCTGCAGGAACTGGTGGGACTTCTCCCTATTCTGGAAACTTTAGGCTTTTATGGATGGGATTGTTTGAAAAATAAATATTTATTGAGTACCTATTCCATGCTGGGTACTGTTCAGGAGAATAAGGAGGTCAAGGAGTGAGTCATGAAACTTTAAAGGTTGAGTGTCCTGAGCAAAGAGAACAATACACACAAAAACCACGAAATGGAAGCTTGCATGACACGCTTAAGGACTAGCAAGAGGGTTGGTATGTCTAGAATGGGTGGTGGAGGGAGTGGAAGCCTAAAAGGAAATGAGGTCTGAAGGATAACCAGGCTGAGCATGTAGGACCTTGTAGGATGTTGTAAAATATTTGGCTTTTACTCTGGATGAGGTGGGATACTCTTTAGAGGGTTTTGAGCAAAGAGGTGACATGCTTTGGCAAGTTTTATAAGAACTCTTTTGTCTGCAATGCAGAAAATAGACTGTAGCAGGACAGGACAAAAGGACCGGACAGGACCGGTTTGGTTGTGACAGAGATGTAAGAAGCAGTGAATTTCTGGGTTGATGATGAAGACCAAAGCTCTCAGAATTTGCTTGTACAGGGAGTAAGAAAAAGAGGAGTCAAGAATGACTTCAAGGTTTTGGCCTGTGCAAATAGAAAAAAAAAGAGTTGCCATTTACTGTTGAGAAGGCTATGGAACAAGCAGGTTTGGGGGAAGATCAGAAATTCATTTTGGGGTATGTTGAACTTAAGATGCCTGTTAGTTGGATACATGTGTGAGTCTGGAGATAAAAATTTGGTGTATTCCATTTTTTTTTTTTTTGCTGTATGCGGGCCTCTCACTGCTGTGGCCTCTCCCGTTGCGGAGCACAGACTCCGGACGCGCAGGCTCAGCGGCCATGGCTCCTGGGCCCAGCCGCTCCGCGGCACGTGTGATCTTCCCAGACCGGGGCACGAACCCGTGTCCCCTGCATCAGCAGGCGGACTCTCAACCACTGCGCCACCAGGGAAGCCCTGGTGTATTCCATTTTGATGGTATTAAAAGCCATGAGACTCACATAAAGAGAAGCTCAACATAACTGGTAACTAGGGAACTACAAATAAAAATTGCAGTGAGATACCATTTGACATTCACTAGGATGGCTGTTATAATTAATTAAGTAATTAATAAAAACCAAATATTTCAACTACAATAAAAATTAAAAATATTGACAAGGATGTTGAGAAATTGGAACTCTTGTATGTTGCTGGTGGGAATATAAAATAGTACAGCCATTGTGGAAAATGGTATGGTGATTCCTCAAAACAATTAAACAATTGCCGTATGATCTAGCAATTCCACTTCTGGGTATATACCCAAAAGAGTTGAAAGCAAGGTCTTGAAGAGATTTGCACACTCATGTTCATAGCAACATATTCATGATAACCAAAAAGGTGGAGGCAACCCAAGTATCAATAGATGAATGGATAAACAAAATGTGATAGATACATACAATGGAATGTTATTCAGCCTTACAAAGGAGTGAGATTTTGACAAGTGCTACTACGTGGATGAACCTTGAAGACAGTATGCTAAGTGAAATTAGCCAGTCACAACAGGACAAATACTATATGATTCCACTTGTATGAGGTACCTAGGGTTGTTAAATGCATAGAATCAGAAAGTAGAATGGTGGTTTCCAGGGGGTTGGGGGCCTGCGCCACATGGCCTGCGGGATCATTTTAGTTCCCTGACCAGGGATTGAACCCTTGGCCCCTGCAATGGAAGCATGAAGCCCTAACCACTGGACCAGGGAAGTCCTGAGAGCTTTTGTTTAATGGGTACAGTTTGTTTGTGGAGATGAAAGAGTTCTGGACATGGATGTTGGTGATGGTTGCACAACAATGTGAATGTACTTCATGCCACAGAACTGTACACTTAAAGAGGGTTAAAATGGTAAATCTTGTCATGTATATTTTACTACAATTAAGTGTACCTATAGATTTTTAATAAAGAAGTTTTCTAATACAGTAATGATTTTTGTAAAATCTGTGAGCCTGGGTGAGATCATCAAGACAGTGAGTGTAGACAGAGCAGAGGTCCAGGGATGGAACTGTGAATCATCCACTCAGGGGAGATGAGACAGAAGCAGCAAACGAGGCTGAGGAGTGAGGCGAGAGAGGAAGAAGGAGCAGCAGGACCGAGTGGAGTTCTGGATGTCCAGAGAGGAGGCTCCTGCTGATTTAGAACTCTTCTCCCAAGAGGAATGTCTTCCTGGATTCTATCAAGAAAAGGGAAATTAAAAAAGATTTGGAAAAATGAGTAACATAATTATTCACTGATTTTTTTTGCACCTTCTAGAAGGAAGATCTGGAGATTGTGTGTGAGAGGTTCACCACAAGTAAACTGCAGTCCTTTGAGGATTTAGCTCATATTTCTACCTATGGCTTTCGGGGTGAGGTAAGCTGAGGCTTGAAGAAATGTATAAAACATCCTCCTGTGATGACATTTCTGCCATTTGTCAGCATATGTTTCTCAGCAGGTCAATAAGACATGATACTTTTTACTTGTTAAATATATGCA